GATGGAGTTTACCTTTCTACTGCAAGATATATTGGTGCTTTTATGCTGAAATTGAGAGATGGAAGAGAACCCCTGAGGGCAGCTTCATCCTTGCATTCTTCTCATTTTACACTGCCAAGCTCTCCCCAAAGCTCTTTATACTCGTTAAAATTCCATGTGTGACTTTTTTAAAAAGACTAAAACTGGCTACCTGGTATCCGGATAACTCCAGCTGGGGGCAGGGGGAACTCATCTCAAACTACCTCTTGATTCTTCCTCTGTGACGTAATGTTTTTACAGACAGATGTTCCTGTTCTTGCAGGGATCACTGCTTCGCTTTCAGCTGATAACATCCCTGAGCTAACAGGACTCCGTAATGAGAAACTCGCTTTCCTTTATGTGTACGACACGCTGCATGTTTGTTACTGTGTGCAGGAGGCAGCATTTAAACGCCTACCAAGTAGCCAGTGCTTCATGGAGTTGAATGAAACCGTGCTGGAGATAGCTATGTTGTCGTTACAGTGGGGGATCTGAGCAGCTGTCATGTTTTTCTATAGTTTCTTGAACCGTCAGGGATTTTAGGTCTTTTTAGGCTTGACCTTCAGTCTTCTACCAACAAAGCAAAAGGCTGTGGGACATGGGAAGCTGATTTTTTTTAGTTACCGCTTTTTGAATGTTGTGTTGCAGTCTCTGGATGGTGCAAAGTACAATGAAATCCTCTCTTTTGCCAGTAGTGAACAAAAAGTCATCTTGTATTTAATGAGAAGCTGTGTGTGTGACCTTTGTGCTCTCTTCGTGAATCTGAGTGGCTTGTGGTAGGAGTCATAGGTGGCAAGAGCTGCATTGCTTGGTCTTACCTTTGTGCTTGCTTGCCTAACTCCAGCAAAACAATTTTCAGCTGGTGGATCTGATCCTTCTAAGTTCACATTCCAGGTCTTCATGACCAAGAAAAACTTTTATTTGTAGAACAAGAGCCGTGAGTTCTTCTTTTTCCTTCCGCAGGACAAGCAGGAGGACTTGAAGACTATTTTGGAGGGCATAGAGCCGGGCAAGCATCAGGTGAGGTTGGCCTTTGATGCTTGTAAGCTGCAGCCTCAGGACACATGCTAACTACCAGCATGGCTTTAAGGCATCTAAATTTCTTCAAAACTACAAAGACTTGCTGTGTAGACTAGACATGTCATCTTTGTCCTGCGTTTTCCCTTCCGTTGGGTTTTCTAAAACCCTGTTTTTAAAAAACAATATCCTAACCTGCACAAACGCAGCAATTTATCTCGTTGAGTCTATTAGCACAAGTAGCTGTGTTAAACCTATTAGTACGTATCCAGCTCCCTGTAAGGTCTTCCCTTTTCAGATGTTTGCTTTAAACTAGAGGCCTAATTGAGTTTTTAGATGCCTCTGAAATACTGGCTTGCTATGTATCTCCGGAGGGTTATCTGGGAGAATTAGGTTGGTGACTGCTAGAATACTCTGTGTCTTGATAGGAGTCCCAGCTTGAAAATCAGCAAAGTGGCATAGTGTTAAGAACTGCATTGTTTGGCTATTGTCTTGCATCAAAAACTGTCTGAATCATTCTGCTTAGAATAGCATTTAGATTTCCATTAAATATTCACTGTTGTCATGGGTGAGAGAGGCTTGTTAAAGAATTGAAGAAAGCAGTTGGACCTTTACTTTGAAAATGCAGATTTTGTTCTAGAACTTTTATATAACATATGACATAGGAAACAAACTCAAAAAACATCCTAGTGAATAATACTTGTGAACCAAGGAGAATAATGGAGGGCAGGGGGGAAAGCCCTGATGTAGCTGATCTTGAAATGGCCTACAATAGAGAGCTCGAAATCAAGAACAAAAGAATACCACTGTTTGTTCTCAGATGCTTCTGGTGACACTGCTTTTGCTCTCCTCTCTCAGTATTGATTTGTCTAGAAAGGAAATAATTATTACTGGCTGGATTCTCGTCTCCTTTTTGACTCTTAGTGGAAAAGGTGCAGATAATTTTCAAGGCCAGGTTGGATGAGGCTTTGGGCAACCTGGTGTAGTGGAGGGTGTCCCTGCCCATGGCAGGGGGGTTGGAACTGGATGATCTTTGAGGTCCCTTCCAACCCAAACCGTTCTGTGATTTTATGATTGTGTAATGTAAACTCTTAACATGATTTGGGTAATACTCTCACTTTCCTCTTCCTATCTGGTGTCCAGACCTACAGAAAACTCTTCTTGGGCGTTCTTCCTATTCAAGCAGAATTAGCAGGAGAGCACATCACTCAAGTGTTTAGAGAAGGACTTTTCTAGTCAAAGTTGCATAGGTGGTGTTCAGTGTTCCTCTTTCCGATCATACTGACTGCAGTGTTTGTCAGGATTGGAGCAGTGAAGAGAGACAGGATACTGTAGGGAGTCCTGCAGTGCAGATAGCTGGGGAAATTATCTTTGGAGATGAGTACTCCTTGTTAGTTTTTGTTCTTGCAAAGCAAGCGTTTGCCTGTACTTCATATGAATACAAGGAAGTAAGCGCACTGGGAAGCTGATGAGGGATGCTTTTGGACAGCTTTCATGTTCTCTGTCCTGATTTTGATTATCTACTGCAGCTTTAAAAAAAAAAATCTTTGAAATTTATGGCCATTACAGGTAGAAGAAAGGATGTGAGTAGACAAAGGCACTGCACTGGCTCAACTTCTTATTTTGGCTTGTTCTAAATATTTTCATTTAAAGCTTGAGTTGATGCTATCTACTAGCCTTTATTAGGGCTAAATAAAGCACTGAAGTTATAGAATTAATTTAATCTTAAAATAAAGTATGCATTTCTATCTTCCAATGTGAAAAATACCATCAAAATGCAATAACTTTTGAAGAGCTGCAGCAGGTGGGCACACAAATGGTTCAGTTTGGCTGGACTGATGATGTATATCGTACTGCAAGTATTTGAAGTGTATAATAGTTGAGGATCAAGTTCTGCCTGCTTGATGAAGTGACAGTTGGTTAAACTGGGCAGAATAACTGCATTGCATTTAAATGAGGATGCTTCCTGACATCCGTGTTTAAGACTTCAACAGCGAAGTCTGTTAGGAATAGAGAATGCTGCAAATAATGATATCTTACTGCTAGTTATCTGAAATGCTACATTTGAATGCAATATAGGATGGCTTTTCACAGTCTTGAATATAGCTAAGATTACCTAAAATAAATTTTACTTCTTGGCATCTTTGCTGTTGCATCAATGGGGATTTAGAAACGTGTATTAAACGGTTTGGGCAGTAATGTTCTGGTCCTGCTCAGTGAGTGCGGTGGTGTTCAATGGTTCTTTGCATCCATAGCTGCTTTGTTGAGTGATTTGCCAGCAGTACCAGGGGTTTACTGTGCATAAAGCAAACAGCAGCATCTGGCTTTTTATGATCTGTTCGCAGTGGCTGAGGAAGGAAAAACTATGCCAAATACCAGAGTAAGCATCAGGGCTCAAGGGCATGCTACTAATGCTTGCACATCACAGGGCCACGTACTAACATAATTAGCTTTACATGTCCTGCAAATATTTCTGGCATGCAGACAATCCAAAAGCATGCATATGTTTATCGACAGCTAAGCAGTCATTTGCCCTGGGAGTGAAATCTACTTTTTACAATTAAAACAAAAATGACTTCGGTAGTAAGTCCATAAGGCTTCTGATCTCCACATGCACTTATGCACTAAGCAAAGAAATTGGAGCGCTAACGAGGAGTTCCAGCGTGTGCTAAAACAGTGTACAACAGTACAAAGTTCTCCCGAAGGCACAGGAGCAGAAGGCCTCTGCTCTTTCCAGAGCACACAGGAGGGGGAGGTGTAGCCCCCGTTACGGCAAAGGATTGGTTTGTATTTTCTGCACGGGGTCAGTCTCCCAATAGAAGATTCAGTCAAGAAATTTCTTCCTTGAGTGTATGAACAGAAGGCTAACTTAAGGTGCAGCTTGCAACCACAGCAAGCTGTACATCAAAGGACATATGCAGAGTTTTCAGGAATACTGAAGCTATGGCAAGGAGTTGATTTGTTCTGTCAGATCTGTTCTTGTCCTTTTATATTTGTAAATAGCAGTATCATCCACTGTCAGTACTAAACATTAACTTTTGCTGTCAGATATACATGTAATTCCAGAAGTAAATAGTGAATTTAGAGCTTGGCTTCCCAGATATTTAATTAAAAAACCTCCATGGTCCTAGTATGTTATTGATCAGGCTGAATATTCAGAGCGCAAATGCAAACACTCCCAGGAAGATGATGTTCTGTCCCCTTGTTGCTGTGCGAGGGTTGATGTGTATTAATCAGCATTCTTTGTGGTGTTGATCACATCTACATAGCAGGCAAATTTTCTAGTTCTGTAACTTCTCTAATACAGTTATATGCAACCACATCTTTCCAGTATTCAGAAACTTTTAAAATTAGAAAATTGTTCTTATCGCTCATTCCTTTTTTGCTGGTTTGTATCATCCTTTTGTTTTCTTTCTGCTTTATTTTCCAGTCCTCTTATTCAGAGACTTTGTGGCCTGCAGTGATTTGTCTTTTTTTTTTATTGCTGATCCTGTTCAGTGTGTTTTAAAAACGTTGTCTGCACTTCGGATATTATTGCAATTTTAAAAGTCTGGCGTGCAGCATGTGACAGCTCTGAGAACTGATGTTCAGTTATTTGTATACTTCCTGATGCTGGATGATGTTTGTGTTAAATAGCGATCTGTTTTTGAGGAGGAAACAAGATGTTACTGTTCTCAAGTGTGTGATGTGTTTGAACACTAAAATAAAAAGGGGTGTGTAAGCAGGGAAGCTTCGTTACGTGATAACAGTATGGATGCGGTCTTAATGCTTTTTGACAGTGTGATTCAGTATTTAAGGTAACATGAACATTGATTCCAGTCAGTTTTTATAGATTGCAGTCAGCTTGTAAGATAGATCTTCTACTGAGACAGGTCATTCTCGTCCCATCATGAGATGGTTCAAAAGCTGAAACGATGGTATAATTTTTGCCCATTTATACATCTGTTATTTCTCCTTTATCATAGGAGCATGAATCTGAAGGTGGGAGAACCCCACTAATGAAGGCTGCGCGAGCTGGTCATTTATGCACTGTTCAATTTCTTATTAGCAAAGGTAAAATACTAGTTTAAATAACTAATTAAAAAACTTTAAATGCCACTTTATGATTCTGCATATTTGTGATCCTTCTTCAAAATTAAACTGGTTATGTGTATATGAACATTTGTCAAACCATTTTTGAGTTTCATTTAGTTCATAATACAATGAATCACAAAATATTTTGCTAGTTACTTTTCCTACTCTGTTGCATAGATTAATAAATAGATTTGAAGTACAGAAAATATTTTTAGTTTCTTAAAAAAAGCACTCCCTTCTTTGGAAAAAAACACATTCTCAAAAATTGCACCATTCTGGTAAGCGCTTAGAATGAAAACTTAAAAGTTGTGCTTTGTACACCAGGAGTGTTTCCTCTTCCTCACTGCTTATGAGGTGCACTGTTACTGTCATTACTGCCTATCTTTATAAAATGAGGAGGAGGATGGGCAGAAGCCATCAAAATACCGTACTTTTACTCCAGAAGTGTGTATGAATTAGGAAGATTAGAAGAGTTTATCTCTGTTCCATAAAATACTGTACTTGTTGATACTTTCTTAAAAAGAATTTCCTTGTGTTTAATTCCAATGTCTTCTTATAGGTGCCAACGTTAACAGGGCTACAGCTAATAATGACCACACAGTGGTGTCACTGGCCTGTGCTGGAGGCCACCTGGCAGTTGTTGAGCTCCTTCTGGCTCATGGTGCCGATCCGACACATCGGCTCAAGGTATTCACTTAAAACTCTGCATTTATCATAGGTACTGGAACAACCATGTGGTTGGCTTAATGGATTAGTAAACGTGCAATTTTAAACGGTCTAGTTCGTACCTTACGTGCTACACCAGGTAGCAAAATTCATCGTCTGGCTTTTTGTTTCCAAAAATCTCACTTCAGGATGGCTCGACAATGCTCATTGAAGCTGCCAAAGGAGGACATACAAATGTTGTTTCTTACTTGCTCGATTACCCAAACAATGTTTTGTCGGTTCCTGCAACAGACTTGTCTCAGCTCACACCTCCATCTCAGGATCAGTCTCAGGTAAGGCATAGGGAATTTTTTTTAAATATCACCATGAGTGTTGCAAAGAAACACTTCCTTAGTCATTAACTTCTGAAGTTAGTTTAGATATGGACATATGCAGTGGAAAGAATTTTGAAAAGTTGATGCATTTGAAAATAGTGGACAGTGAGAAAACTGACTGGCATTGTCCACGGTGTCCTGAAGAGTGCGCGAAGTTTGTTCCCTTTTCTGCTCCTTAGACAGAGTAGCCGCAAACCCACTATCTCAAAAGATGGTTATTTTCTTGGTTGTGTTGGCTCCGTACTTCGATTCAACAGTCCTAAACTCTTAGGACAGCACCCCTCAACTGTTGTGGCTGATTTAAGTTGTCATAGGAAAGAAAATATATTGTGTGAATTCAGAATTCTGCAGGCTGGAGAGGTAGCTTTCCAGTGGAGTTCATTGATTAAAAGCCTAAAGATGTTAAGAGTTTTCCAGCCTACACAGCTGGGGATGTTGTGGAGAGTAACATAGTTAACTTTGGCTTATTATGCAGGATAAAACAGCATGGGACAGGTAATACCAAGAGGCAGCATTGCATGCGCGGTTTGGGAAGGGTGGAATGGAGGTCTGCTGTAGAAATGTGGCTTTGATTAACACTTCAAGATAGGGTCCATCAGAAGTGTTTTTTCTGTCTGAGTGTGTGTCTCGGCTTTGTTTCAAGGTTCCACGTGTGCCGGTGCATACACTTGCTATGGTTGTACCTCCCCAGGAACCCGACAGAACCCCTCAAGAGAACTCGCCACCTCTCTTGGGAGTGGTGAAAGGTTAGTACGTAGCCACGCGGAGAATACATGCAGTTTGGAAACTAATAGGCTGGGGACAGTGGTATTAGAGCTTATCCGTAGTATAGTCCACTCCATCCATTCCCTAACACCTCTAATGAAGTATAACTTAAAAAGTATTTTGTGCAGTGTGTGGTTTTTTGCTTATTTTCTTGTATTCTACAGTATAGTAACACTGATTATTCTAATTTATTCTGCTTATTCTCATAGAATTACACTTATTTTAATTTTTTTGTAGGAAAACGGTTGTGGTAACTGCCTTAGTGCAGACTGATAAAAACGTTAATAAACTCTAGGTGTGGTGTTAACTTTTCAATGTTGTACATTGGTCATCTAGAATAGTTGCAACTATTATCCATGAACGTGATATATCAACTTTTTTCTGTTCCTACAGTGGCAATGCACTGTAAAATGCCAATGCAGATCTACTTACAGAGGAATTTCTCTTATATTAGTAATAGTACTATTGTAAGGAATCATAACCTCAGGGTTTTTGCTTTGAACACGGTTGAACTGACTGGTTAAAACCATTTGCAGTCATTAAATGGTGAATTTAGGAGATCGTTCCCAGCTATGGATTTTGTAACAAATTCTTCGTGTCTAAGTCAGCTCAGAAGGAGAAGTAGATTCTCAAGTGGAAAGCTACAAACTGCAGCTCCTAATGATTTATTGTTTTGGACAGGGATATTAAATGTTATAGTATCCGAAGCTCTATTAGCTAGCTTTACTTCATTCTTTTATTTTGGAAGTGCTCAGTGCTTCTTAAAACAAACAAAATAATCAGAGGCACAAATGAAGAGAGAAAAAAATTGTGTACCTGCTGGTGTTTAAGTGTGCAGCCATGCCTCTCTATGCATATATGCCATGTGTGTGACTTCTCAAATGCAGTTATTGTATCATTTTCCTAGGATGTGCAACACTCGACATTTTGGATTTCATAAAAACGAGTACTAAACAAATGAAAAGAACATGCAACTTCTGGTTCAAATAAAACAGTAGAAGCTACATACCAGCATGTGTGCCCTTATGATTAAATAGCTATTAATGTTACAAAGTGGATTAGTGTTCTGGAAGTACGTTTGGTGATGCATGGAAATCAATAAGAGATTAGTTGATACTGAGTCAGAAGACTAAAGTTACAAGCTTAAAGTCTCATGTTTAATCAAACTGTGAAAAGCAAATAGTTGATTGTAGTTTAAGAAATAGCTCTCATTAAAAAAAAAAACCAACTTATTGCAAATGTCAGCACATATTTTAGGCATGTTTTTAGCAGTGCCCTGTTGTTGGAACTGGCACAGAGAGATCCAGTTGTTCGTACTGTTTTGGGACATGCTTCATGTGTGTCAACGAAACTCACCTGTGATGTGTTGCAAGAGGTGTAGCAATCCAGCATGTGTCCTTGGGCTGACGAAGTGTTCTGAAAACTTGGTGTGCAAAACTGTTGTGTATCTCAGATCTCTGGGGGAACAATGGTATTTCTGTGGTTAAAAACTGTGTGATGGTTGTAGTGATACCACTCTGCAACTTTAGCTGCTACAGAGTTAGTGTTCTTTGCTGAACTTGGGTTCTTAACTTGTTACACACATGTGCCTCTAATATACCAAACTTTCATCATCAAACTTTTTGCGAGATAAGGGGCAAAAGAGAATGTGAATAAAGGCATGTTCGTTATTTCCAAGGGGGGCAGGGAAGCAGCCGTAGGTTCTTATGGAACAAAATTGTTTGTCCTGGGGAAGACAGATTTCTTTCCTTCACAGTTACAAGTAGCCCCCTGAGTTTTTGTATAAACTCTTAACTACTTGGAGGAAGGAGAGGAGCACCTAGCCTTCTTAGCCTCAGTGCAGTCTGGTTTTTAAGGATGTGTATTAGTTTGGCAAGAAATGCCAGGAGCTCTTCAGGAAACAAGTTGTTACTATTGCAAGTCGAGTGTAAAACTAGAGTACACCTCTCTGTTATTGTTACCGTGAAAATCTGGTGTGAGGTTTTTCAAGAGGAATTTATGGTCTAATTTTGAATTACGTTATTATTCTTCAGTTAAGTAAGAAGGCATATGGAATAGCTGCCATTTGAATAATTATTTTGGCAGAGTTTAATATCAGTGTTTAGCAAAAGAGAAATGCTTCAGAACTGACAGTGGATCTGGAGAGCCTCAGACGCAGGTGATATGCAAAGATGGTAACGTCCTAAAGAGCTGAAGAGAAGTCAGGTGAAAGAAGCAGCAGAATTAGTTCCCAGGACTGAACAGACCTCAGTGCTTAGGAAGGATTGTTTTTAGCACGCTCCATTTAGCAAGTATCCATTGTGTCCATGTAAAAGGGAAATCCCAGTGAAGTTCAGCTGTCTGTGTGTTTGTGGGGAGAGGCAGGAGATCCTGTCCTTGGCGTTTTGTGCTTGCTGGTGCCCTCACTTGAACGCGGTCACGATTGCCCAGCAGCCAGCAGCAATTCTGACGCAGCAGCTCAACAGGGAGAGTCTTTTGACTAGAAAAAACAAATGTGCTATTTCTGTAGGACCAGGGAGTCTCTCCTGATTTACACTGCGAGGGGTGCAAAGCGCAGTGGCTCTGATGCAACTCCAGGTGCCTCTGCATCTGGTTCCCTGGGGCGGGGTAGTCTCAGTGCCCAGCACATGAAACAGCCAAAAGGAACGCTGTTGGATTTCTTTAGGAAATCAGCTGGTGTAATGGTGTTGCCATTGACAGTCTTGTCTAGTTTGTGCATGGAAGCTGATGTTTAGTAAGGGTGGGATCAGAAGCTCCTAGCAGTGTTTGTCGTTCTGCCGTAGTCGTTTGCACAACATGCCTCGTGGCTTGAACTCACGGCGTGTTTTACAACGTTATTGAAAAACAGCACTAGTGCAACAAAGGGATGCTCAGGAAGTCTGGAAAGCAGCAGGGTTGTTTTCCTAGTCAAAATATTTGAACTACATAAGGTGTTTTTAAACATGTCCAAATTTCAAGTAGTCTATTTTCGGAGGCTGAGGTATCAATTATTTTGTAAGATTTTCTCCAGATTTGTTTTCCTTCATAGCCAATCTGAAATGGTCCTTGCAAGTGCACTAGTTGGCCTCAGCTGAGTGCCTAGAACCTGTCAACATGCTGTCATTAGACTTCTGCGTTGTTGTGGTGTAGTGGGCAGCAAGTCGCAGCGTTTCTCATTTGGGATTTTTGGAATCTGTAAGCTTTTTAAGTTAGACCTTCAATATACGGTATCACCTGTATCCCTGTGCTAGATCTAACAATCTAATGGCTTGGAGAAAGGGAAGAAAAACAAACTCCATGTAGCTTCAATAGCTACTAATTCAATAAATATTTTTAATCCAATATCGGACTTTTATGCCTAATACTGAGTTATATATGGGCAGATACATAGTGTGTGATTTCATTGAAATAGGGGCCAGGTTAACAGTAGAACTAGAAAGAAGATACTCTTCTCATTGAGGTGAGGGCACTAAAAAAGCAAGCTGAATGTTCTTGCTTTTCCATTACAACTTCTTTCAGACTTTTGTACTGCACAGTCCCGCTGCCTGTTCATTGTTTCATGTGCTTCAACATCTCCTCATTAGCTCTTCCCATTTCCTCTGTTTTCTGCCTGGGTCGGCAGCTGACCCAGTTCCCTGGGGTGAGTTAAGTGGAATGTAACCGTCCATGCCTTACGGCTTTCTAACTTCACTAGTGCTTTCTTAGCAGACTTAAAGACTTGTTACTCTTCTCTGCAAATCTTCAGCAGTGCACGCAGGTGATTTAAAAACAAGGCACATGTGTAAGGTCCCCAAGAGCACAAGCGTGTGAAAACTTTTTCATGGTGGTTTGTGAAATTCTGCTGCCTTGAAGCTTCAGTCGCCTGCTTGCTGAGGACCAACTTGGTTACATCTTAGCAATTTTCCAGTTAGATACTGTCGAGTCACCAAAGGAGACTTGCGAAGAAGACTAAGATTGGAAAGTAACTCAAGTTTTTGAATGTCAGAAGGCTGAGTTAAGTTTGACTTGGTTTCAGCCATGTAACCGTGGCCCGTTGGATGTTATCTGTTCACTCCAAGCGTTGCATAGAAACAGCTGCAGGAGTGCTAGAGACTGGAAAAAATACTGCATGGTTCACGGGAGGAACATAGTGAAAATACAAACTCATCTGATCACTCAACCCTCCGTAAATCGTCCTGTGCTTTGTAAAGAAGAATTCAGTATGTATTAAAAACTGTGTGGCAGATGAATTTACTTGGGAAAAGTAGGCTACTGTTTTGTTGCCCAGTTAGCCAGATTATATAACATAGTATTTTGCATTTATGTGTATATGGATTAACTGATTGTTTCCCCAGGTTCTTTGAGCTGAATTTGTTACTGATATGAAATTAGTTAAACACAGAGTTTTCATGAAATTTCAGTGTTGAGCTCATCTTATTCCTGTTGATGAGGCTGGTGAATTTCAATTGCAGACTGCAAATCTTACTCTGGATTTCTGAATGAAATCAGATTTTTTTTTTAGAAAACCCTAAAGTGCAAGAACAGCAGATAAGCAATTCTATTAACAGAACACGAAGATCTTAGTATGGATTTATGCTTCCTGACATATGCCTTTTGTGGAGTGAGGAACAGACTGAATCTGTTTCCTTGGTTGGTTGTTTTGCGGGTTTTATTTTTGTTTGGTGGAGTTTTGGTTTGGTTGTTTTAGTTCTAAGTAATAATTACCTATTGGGATGACATGGTGATTCATATAGATTTACATCCTGGGTATTGGTTCCAGCAGAGAAGATGTATTAGAATGTACGAGTGTGTGTCACACAGCCTACTTTTGCTTGCTGTCATTTTTTTTAATGCTGGAAAAATCTTTTGGAATTTAACTGTTTAAATTTGGATCCACTCTTTTTTTTTTTTTTTTCAATTTAACAACTCTAGAAATTAAGTAGCTGTCAACAAGTCCCAGAATTTCATCTGATAAAAAGGTATAATGTCACTGTTTCAGGTGGTGGCCACGATGAAAGCCACTAAGCTGAAATGCAAGTTGTGTTGACAGAAACTTCCTGAAGAGTATAATGGATTGTAGAAACAAACCGTTTGTCGCCTTAATTTTCTGAAGAGATGTTAGAAATAAAGCAGCGATTTTTCTCAAACTTTTGTTGCTTCCTCTAAAATACAACAAATGTCTGTCCTTGCTAGTTCATCAGTTAGTGCTTTTAGAGTAAGATCTGAACTAGGCTTCATTTATGTAAGAGAATGACTTGTCTACTTCATGTTTCTCAGAAAGTTCCTTGGAGTAAATATCTCAGTCCTCAGACTTGCAGAGGACAGTGCAAGTACCTGTGAAGTAGGAGGCTGTCATGTGGGTGTTAGCAAACGTAGGCAGTACATCTAATAACGATGTCATTGGGGTCACTAAGCAGTTGTAGAGAGGTTTATTTTGAATTGGTAGCATCTCACCTGTGCTGCTCTATTCGTTGTGAAGTCATATAAATGATATCTTTCTTGGGAGAAGACATCCTATGGATTAGAAGTCAGGGCTAGAAGAGCAAATTCGTTGAGAATCATAAGCACTCAGGATGATACTATCGTATCAGATTTGTTTGTAGGCAGCAACGCTATAAATTTAAGCGAATTTAAATTAGAAGACTTTAATTGCTTAGGAGAGCTACCTGAGGACTATAAATATGAAGGTTATTTTTCCACAGTCTTGCTCACAGTGTCTAGGACCTTTAAATGTTGCTTGCAGCCAGAAGGCATGAAAAACTGGTAATGGTGTCCTCCCTTCATGTTACTGGGTGCTCAAGAGATGAGGAATGGTGCGTGAGGGAGGCTCATCTGGGTGAGCGAACCGCTGCGACTCAGATAACTAGGAGGTTATCTACAGTGTACGGGAGAAGTACAGGAGATTTCCATAGGAAACATTTACCTCTCATTTCCTGGAGAGAATGAGAAGTCAGGGAAATGGATGGGAAGCTGCGTTTGTGCAGAGCAGGTCTTACCCTGAGTCGTGTGTGTTGGTCAGAAACCCGCTGAAAACATGTACGTGCTCTGCAGGAGTGGTGGTGAAGGCGGAGTTGGTCAGGTTAGGGACCAGTACTTGGGGGAATATGGAAATACAAATAAAAGAGCAATTGGTCCTACCGTTCACAAAATAAATTGGGAAACGGTCATTTCCTTACTCGGTGGCTTTCCTGGTGTGCCCATAACCATGCAGGGTTTTCTGTCAACTGAACAATTCTTTGCCCTGCAATCTTGACTGCCTGATGGCAGTTGGTATTTGTGTAGCAACATCTGGATTTCATTGGTCCTCAGTCTTCATTTCATACTAAACAAGTCTTCCAAAACTGGCTGAAAGTTGCGTTAGAGACTCGGTTGACTCTTTAGTATTGGTAGGCTTAATTTCGTCGTAGGTTGGTTGTGTAGAAGGTTGATGTTCCCCCAAAAAGATAAATCAACAAGATAAAAATTAAACAATAAAAAGAAAGGGGAAAAAAAAAGAAAAAAGTTGAAGCAATTATGATCTGGTGGATTTTTAGGTCTTACTACACTTACATATTTCAAAAGTGAAAGTACAAAGTATTTACTAAAATGGGCACAATATTTTTCAGGATATTGTAGTATAGAAGGGATTTGGATAAAACAGGAAATTGATGCTTTTAAATACTGCCAATATGACAACATTATTAGAATTTTTACATGTTCGTAGCTACCAACAGTGTCTTCTCCACCTCAGGTTTGAACTGGCTGTTCAGGTGCGCATGTCAGGTCGAGCGGATCCTTCCTCCTACCCCTTGTCCTCTTCCAGTATCCCCAAGATTATAGGTTGCAACTGGTTCCTGGCATGGAAAGAGTGATCTGGAACCTGAAAAGTTGCCCTGCTAACCGATTAGAAGCTGATTAAAGTAGATCTCCTCACCTCTTCTGGAACTTTAGAGCCTGGTTCTTCACTTGCTGGTTTCCTGACGCCTGCCCTCAGAAACTGTCCCAGCTTTCCGTGGTCATTCCTGGTCTGAGCTGCTGTCTGGAGAGCACTGCCCACTGTGAAACCAGCCTTGGCTCCTCTGCCCAGTCCAGATCTCGATACGATGCTGTGCTTCTGCTCTTTGCTTTCTCTTGTGCTAGTGGAAAAGTTTCCTACGGCAGGTGTGTTTTCTGCCCAGGTGGGACTTTGTGGAGGAGGACGATATAGGTCCTTTATTATTGGGGGGCTCTTTGAGCTGCGGCTTTTCTTTGCTGCAGCGATGGAAGCTGTCCAGAGCTGCCAAGTCATGGGAATGCTTGGTGTTAGGATGGAGAACAGATGTGGTAACCTTAGAAATGACATTAGAGAGCAGTGCCAAGGGTTCCCGTCTCAGTCGCGCCTTAAACGCAGGATTAACTTGCAGATAGGTACTGTAATGTTTCTGCTACTTCAGCAGCGGAGCAGCTTAGTTTCAGAAGACACCAATTGGCTTTTATTGGTGTCTAACAAAGATATAGGCAAGCATTTCAGAGATTTTTGGTGAGCGCAAATAGTTTTTTCAAGAGTGGCCTGCAATTCTTACATTCCAGGTCATACGCTGTAAGATGAAAGGATCACTTTATCAACCCGAAGGACACTGAAAGGCCACCAGCTCATAGCAGGCTCGAGCTGAACATCCACCAGCCAGCACAAAGCAAGTTATTGCTAAACTTTAGTCAAATTCCTTATTGCCTCACGAGAAATTGTCTTGGGACTCACTTATAGTTCAGAGACAGAATACTGGTGGTGACTGGAATAGACATTCAGCTGGAGCTACTGGCCTGTACGAGACAGGCCAAGTACAGAGCTGCAGAACAAGCTGAGGGGTCGCGGCAGTGTGTGTGGGGTGCCGGGGTGTTTCCTGGCGCTAAGATTTTTGACGTTTCCCTTAAATTTAGACATGGTTTGCTTTTACTCCAGAGAGTCTGCTGGAGGTATTCAGCACAGAGTTGGTTGAATTCTATTTTAATATTAATTCTTTCTCCTCATAAGAGAAAATTATCTTTTAAGAGAAAATTCTCATGTTTTGTTTGCTCTTTCAATTACTTCCTCAAAAAAAGATTCATTTCAGAGTGGTGTGTATGTGACTCCTGTTTTGACAGCAGTGCAAAATGAACTCACGTGTAAATTAGTGTTTTGGTGAAGGAAGGCCCAGAGAGAAATAAATCGGTATTTTAGGAGAATTAATCCTTCCAGAGCTAGTGACTCATCTGGGACGTAGTTCTTGCATGCGGATTTTTACTTAACTGTGTGATGTTTAGTTAACTTTATGGCATGGCTCAAGCTGTGCATAATTTTAATTCCCCTTTTAATGATTAGTTGTATGAGTCTGCTTTGTCAATACTCAAGTTTGGGTTTTTGTTTGGTGTGGTTTTTGTTGGTGTTCTGTTTTTTTTTCTAAAAGCTACATATATCACTGAGTATAACAAATGAGTGTTAGTGCAGAGAATTATTTGATCAGGCTAAAACCTTCCACATTTTTAATTAAAGTTTCTTACACTGAAGTCATATTTTCAGCACTTAATAGATTCCTATTAGCAAGATGTGACGGGAGGTTCCACAGACGTGGTTTTTGGGCAAGCAGCCTTGGGTTGCTTGAAGGCAGTGAGCGCTGAGAGAAGCACTGCCCTGGCTTGGTGTTCCTTGCTAGATTCACATTGAAGGTTATTTTTATAAGTCTTAGTAGCAAGCAGAGTTGTTAACTTGTTACTGGAGGAAGGGAGGCAAGCAAGCTGTTAATTTTGTCTCAGAAATTTTAAAAAGGTGCTAAAGCTTCCAAATATATTTCTATATGCTAAGGCTGCACTGGCAGGATTCTGTTTGTAACGTAAGGGTGGAATGCTGCAGTGTTCAGAGATCAAAATACTGATCTCACCAGAGAGTTAGTCTTCTCTCAAATACAGACTGCTTTTACTTGTAACCTTTCTGTTGGAAGTCAGCTTCTGGAAAATAGTCTTAGTTTAGTTGCTCTGCACACCAGAGCAGCTTTGGGAACTCAGTAAATTATTTAAATTGCCTTGCTCTTCTTGCTGATTTCACTTCCCAGATACATTGTCTTGTATGTCAGAAACCATAAAGGTTCCTTATTCCTTAAGACTGAAACAGCTGTGTTCAAAGGGATATTAGGATCAATATTGAAGATTCCAGCTATATGCTTTGTCCTTTCTTGTCTTAACGTGGAGTATAGGGTTTACCTTTCTGTGGTTTGACAGATGTGAAGTGTTAGTTGTAAAGATTTTTTCTTTTATTTTCTTTTCTTTTTTTTTTTTTCTTTTGGTGGGTGAGAGGGGAGGTTTGGGGTATCTTCAGCATGGCATTTTTTCAAACATTTTTCATGTGCTTAGGTGCATCCAAGCAGAAGTCAAGTTCCCTGCAGGTAGCAGATAAGGACCTACTGCCACCTTTTCACCCATACCAGCCTTTGGAATGCATAGTAGAAGAGACTGAAGGCAAGCTGAATGAACTTGGACAGAGAATTAGTGCTATTGAAAAAGCACAACTTAAATCATTGGAATTAATTCAAGGTGAACCATTAAATAAAGATAAGATTGAAGAACTTAAAAAGAACAGAGAAGAACAAGTACAGAAGAAGAAGAAAATATTGAAGGAGCTGCAGAAGGTGGAAAGGCAGTTGCAGATGAAAACCCAACAGCAGTTTACCAAAGAATATTTGGAGACCAAAGGTCAGACAGACACACCACTTCCCCTGCAGCATCAGTGCCCACTTACAGGGGTCTTCCCAGAAGTGGAAGCCGATAAGGGTCTGCCAGAGGATAACTTTTCAGGGTTACCTCAGGTTGATACAATCTTGTCTAAAGATGATGAGCGACAAGAGTCTCCACCACCTGCAAGAGTTTGTCCCTATCCAGCCTTTGCCAGCACCACAATGTAATTTTTCTGGTAATTTAGGTTATAATGGGACAGAGTCTCTTGAACTTCAGAAAGCATTAGGGAATCAGCAGAATGTAGGACAGCAGCAGCAAATTGCTGGGCAGGGGCTCTTAGTTCAAGAACCAGACGGATTAATGGTTGCCACTCCAGCACAGACGCTTACCGACACTCTTGATGACCTAATAGCAGGTGGGTTAAGAAATATACCTATTTTTGCATTAATTTGTGTGCTCAGTTTCCCTCTCTTTCCTTCCCTTCAAAAACATCTTGGGGTTTTCCAGTTCGGGAATACTTGCTTAAGAATAAAATTCCTGATTAGTGCTATTAATCCTAACAGTGACTTCCAATTCTAACTTGAGACTTTTAAATATCTTTTTTCCAAAGTGCAAAACTTCCTGTACTGGAGACCTGTTTTAGTCCCTTTGGCCTCATCTTTTTCTGTGCTGCTTTAAAAAACCTTGCCATGAGTGATTAGCAGTGCCCATTAGGAAACCTGAAAACGTGACAGTTTTATATCTTCTGTAGAATTTCCTACACAGGCTTATACCTTGGTGACCTTCTTCAGTGTAGTAGCCATCTTTAGAAAAAGCTGTCCACTCGTGTGGACAAACGCGTCCCTCTCCTCACTGCTGAAGGTGCAGCTGTGGTTTCACACAACCTGGAATCTGCGCACAGCCGCTCAGTTCTGTAATGGCTTGTGTTTTCAGAATGCTCGCTGAACTCTGGTTGTCATACAGGAATATCTGCTTGTTAGATATCACATGTGGCAAAATTTGTCATGTTATCTGGAGGAAAAGCAAAAATCCACACATCCTTCTGTTTGTTGATAATGATGTGAAGAGGAATGGAAGTTCCCACACAATGGGTTGTGTGAGTCCCCTTGTGGAAAAAGAGGTATCGTTTCGGTTGACTTCATTTCATGGATTTGACTAGGATTGATGTTTGCTGCTGGAGGTATGTAGGATGTAGTCAGTGTTTGGTCTGTAGTTTTTTTTTAATTCAGTGTTTTTCAGCTTTTCTTTGCACCCTGTGTCTGTCCCTCAGCCCTTATTTTCCTGTCTTCCCTGCCGTGCCCTCCTCTCCCCACGCACGCCCCCTTCGCTTGTAGTCACTGCCCTGTCCTCTCGAGTTCATTTCGAGGTTGTAGAAATGTGTGGTAGGACCTTTTGCCAGCCATTCCAGTGAACTTTTATAATGGTGATTGCATCAAACTCTGGCAAGTTGAGACTACCTGCGACTTTGCCCCCTCCCATGGAAACCATAGTTGGTGGAATAGTGTGATGTGCTGTACCAGCTCCCTTCAGACACACAGTGTAATTCAAAGAAATCCTCTTGTATTATGGAGAACCGGTCTTAGTTCCACTTTTCTGGCATGGTGTGCCTCCCTCCTCCACTCTACGGTGCTCTTCAGAGTATTCAGCAACGTTAAAACAAGAATGCAATTGGATTATTCTTGAATTTTATTACTCAAGATTTGGTACTGGAGTGTGTGAAGAGGAAGATTCGATGGTTAATACAAAATATAATCAGCAAAGGCTTAACCTTTGGAGGGGTTTCTGTAGCTGACAGTTTAAGATATCTAGCACAAGACCATGTACTGTGTGCCCTTTCATGGTGAGCAGCTGTATGTTACATTCAAAATACTCAGGACATCCAAAATGGAAAACTGTTGTGGTCTGGCTGAGTGGGAGAACTGTGGGAAACAACCAGAAAAACTTTATCTTAAAAATAATATAAAAAGCCTTGAACAGACATTGATTCACTTTCTGAAAATGTTTACTGTTTTTGCTAAGTAATTGAAGGCTTTTTTTGTTAAGAAATGAGATTTACTCTTTTCAAAAATCAATACAAATATCACGGTCTTTTGCAACTATTAGAAACTATATTTACAGGAATGCAACTCAAGGAAACTTCAGCTTTCCAATTCTAGAGGCTCCTGCAAAAATGTATTGATTTGCTTTATTGGAATATATTTTCTTCTGAAATTCCTAAGTGTGTTTTACGTTCCTCCCCACAAAAATTGATGCAAGAGAATTAGATGTTTCTCTCACTTTTTAAATCCAGACTGTGTAAAAGAGTGACCCCTGTGTAAATTATAATCCTACTGTATCTCAAATTTATGTACACTTAAAACCAAACTGTAAATCTACCTACTCGTGCTCCAAACTGATCCATATTTAAAACACACTTGACCTTTTTCCGCAAACTTGCCCATTAGTTCTTAATTTGGTAAATAAATTTTGCACGATAGAAGCTGTTATGAGCAGGGATTTTTACGTGCACACTGCGGAGGCCAGATAAACGTGAGGGGCTTGTGCCTGCTGCGTAGGAGCCTGTCTCTTAGAGAAGTGGTGTCTCACACTCGGGTGTGCTGGTGAAGTGCTCCATCACAGCACCAGTGGAGCTGCAGTAGTGGTGGTGAGTGACTCTTGCTTTACAAGATGTATGAACATTCTTATTCCTGC